CTTTAAAGAGTAAAAGGCTCTTAAACTCAGTTCTGTATCCATCCACTTCATTTTGCCAGTCTCTCTTCCTTTCTCTACCATCTCCATACAACACTGCAGCAGAGGAGGAGACTATTCCAGAGGGTTAGTTAGAGGGATCTTTTAAGAAGGAAAAGGAAGGACAATCAGCCTTTCTTCCTTAATAATTGTAGAATTGTTTGTGGTTTATTGTACAGAAGCCTCTATACATTTTTGAAACATTAGATAGAAAGCTACCTCCTTTCTCCTTCTACCTGTAAAAAGGCTAGGGAACCAGACCTTACGTTGTTCAGAGAGTTGAGGCAAGATCCAATTTTGATTTTCTAAATAGAACCTATAACCTAAACCTAGACTAGAATTGAAAGAGTCTTGTGCCTTTCATTGTAAGTCACTCCAGCCTCACTTCTTCCCGGGGCAGGACTCTTCCTATAACCTAGTCAGTGAAAACAATCCAGCTTTTATTTGAACAGTTCCAATGCTAGAGAGGGAGCTCTGGTGGCGTAGTGCCTAAGGCACTTGACTCCTAACCAGAAGGCTGCAGGTTCAAACTGTTAGGCCAAAGCAAATCCAAGCCACCAACATTTCAGTTAGCAGCTTCCTCTGGGTGTCAGGCCCTGATGAGACAGCCTGATAAGACAACCAAAATGACAGAACCCACCCAGACTAGAAAGTCCCATGCAGTGGCAAACTTCCTCTTGTGAAGCCCCCTCATGCTAATTAAGTACAGATCCATGCTAACAGCTAATTGGACCCCACCGTTTCCTTAGTGTCCCCACTTAGGTCCTCCACAAGACTATAAACCCTACCCTCCCCAGCCAGGCAGTGCAACTTCTTGGGCCCCTCTCAGGGACACATGAACCTTGCCCGGGCCCCTCTCGGGGACCTGTAAACCTCCCCCGGAAACTCAGAATAAAAACTTCTCTTTAACCTCACTTTTGTGCGTCCTCTTCTCCTTACTGTGGCCTTACACAAACCCATAGCCACTCCTCGGAAGAAAGATTGGACAATCTACTTCCGTAGTGACACTGCCTCAGCAACCCAAGGAGGGGTCACTATGAGTCGGGTTCGACTCAATGGCACATAACAACAACAGTGCTAGAGATCTCATTACCTTAGGAGTAGACCACACTATTTATTGTCAGACAGCTCTACTCCTTAAAAAGTTCTTAACAGGAACTAAAGTCTGCTTTTTAGAAAGTTCCAACCACCAATTCTAGCTCTGCTCTCTGGCATTACTCAGAATAAGGAGCTTGAAATAATTGAAAAACCATAGGCTCAGAGACATACATTCTTGAGACATTTCAATTCTGAATCTTGGCCCTGCTATTTACTAGCCACATGACCATAGGCAAATTTCTTAACAGCCAAGAGCCTCAACTTCCTTATCTGTTAAGACGATAATAATAAGTTCCTAAAACAGCTGTGAGAATTAAGTAAGCTTGCTGCTGTAAAGCTCCTGACATGTCACAAGTGTTCACTAAACACTACTTCTTTTCTCTTCCCCACCTCACTCTTCTTCCTCATAATAATCCTTCAAATATTTGAATAAAGCTATTATGCTTCCCCCTAGGTCTTTCTCCTTCCAGCCTTGAACATACCCATAATTCTTCAACCATTTCTCATAAGACTGCTCCATGAGCAGTAGGGCAGGGGTAGATTTAACCTCAAACACTACAGTGCCTGGCCCAGTATGTGAAAGATAGTTGATGCTCAAGGAATTTTGCCTGATCAGAATTAAAATGACCTTCATATGTCAATATGATTCCCAGGAGGAATCTTCTCCCTTTTTGAGACAATGATGAAAAATTGTTTACAAGTGGAAATGATTGATGTGGGTCCTTCCCCCACAACATTCAGTTATTGTACTTGCCTTGATTATCAGGAAGCACAGAGTAAGATTTTTGCAAAAAAGCAATGCCTGGTTTTTCTCATATAATTGCCTCCCTCCCCACCATTTCATTACCTAAGACTTTGTCTTCTACATTTGCTTTCATGAATCTTGTTATCTAAGAGCTCTGGAGGCATAGTGCCTAAGGCATTTGACCAGTAAGCAGAAGGCTGGCAGTTCAAACCTACCAGCTACTCCTCGGATGGAAGATCGGGCAATCTACTTCCATAGAGATACTGCCTTGGAAACCCAAGGAGGGGTCGCTATGAGTCAGAAACGACTCGATGGCAGTGGTTTTTGTTGTTGTTGTTTGTTTGTTTCGTTTTTGTTTTTCTGTTATCTACTTCTCATATCACTGTAAAAGCAGGTAAGTTTTTTTTTTTTCTTAATAATTACATTTAAAAATATCTAAAGCAGTAATCAATTTTAATTCTTCTGTAAATTCAATATTCTCTACCAAGAGGAACTCAAATTCAAGAGCTAATCAAAACATTTGCCAGTTTAAATGTTGCCTTATATGTACATTTACCAAAAGGAAAAAAAAAAAAAAGCAGCTGTTGAGGCTGCTTATGCACAGCCAAACACTTTGGGAATTTGTTTTCTAAGTGTAGAAGTTTAGGAGCTGTAGTTTTCAAGGGATATCCCAATCAATTGGCCTAGTTTATTGCAGCCATCCAAGGTGCAACAATTACAGAGAAAGAAGAGTCAGGAACTAGAGGAGAAAATCAAAAGTATGTCTGGTTGTCTCCATGAATAACTGCCTCCTTTGATATGAGACCAGAAGAACGGGATGGTGCCAAACTACCAGAACATTTTGATCTAATATTCTGTAAAAGAATTCTGATCAAAAGGGAGAAAATGTAGAACAGAATTTGTAATTCTTGTACAATACAGACTTTCTGGAGCCATGGCTACTGGATGAACCTCTAAAACTACTGTCCTGTGATAATTTTTAAACCTGAGACTAAAAATATCCCCTGAAGTCTTCTTAAAACCAAACACTAGTTTAGTTTACCTAGGAAAGAATGTCTCCCCTGATCATTATGCTCTTTTAAGGAATTATCTGTGTGAGATGCAATTGACAATGGCAATGAAGAAAGGTTGGATGGAAAGCTTAGAGGGAGGTGAGTTTAAGATGATGGTGGTGGAATGATTTGGGAAAGGATAACAAGGAATGGTAGCACAACTTGAAGAATGTAACCAATGTCACTGATTTGTACATGGAGAAATGGTTGAAATGGTGTCTATTTGATTGTGTATATTTCACCAAAATTAAAAGATTTTATATATATTTGCCAGTGTAGCATCTCAGGCTCACTCCTACCTTTTCTGAGCTTGATTGTTTCCATGACTCCTTTTTCCTTTTATGGAGAGAACACAGTAACATAGATGCTTATTTATGAGATCCTGAGACTATAAAAGTGCCTTTAAAAAGCAGATAGAAATCACATTTTAAAAATAGCACATCTTAGGTAAGCAAGGTTCTGCACACCCTGAAAGAGAATTTTCTCTCATTTTGCCTCGGGACAAGGAGAGCAGAATATTGGGACACCTGAATCAACTGGTACCTCCACTTTTGTCACATGGTTAAATGGACCTTCTATTCTTAAACACATGATTGGCACTCATATCACAGGGCTGGGTCAAGTACAGTCCATCCTAAGGGTAGAGAGAGGAATCAGATGACTATGATTTGTCAAATAGAAATGTAATTGTTTCCTTAGGTTAAAAAAAAAAAAAAAAGTCAGCACCACCCTAAAAATCCCTGAAAACTATACCTTACAAAAGTTACATGAGACAACATCTCTCCCTTCTCTATCCCCTGCATGAATCTGAAACCAAGACTTAACTGAAGGCCCTAAAGAAGGAAATCAACATAAGACAACCTGACAGCAGAGAAGGAGGGGAGACTGGGCTTGGTGGTGATTAATCAGATCATTAGCCCTGGGGGGTGTCTCCTTCCTAACATATGCAATTAGGGACCCAATAAAAGATTTCAGAGCCTGCTGTCTACACCCAGCCCAGTGCCCCACATCCCACTTGCTCCACTCCTAAACAAGGTGAGTCTCATCCACTCTCTGAGCACTCTTACATGATCTCAACTACTGCTTTGCTTTTATTATATGTGAGACTGGGGAAGGATTTGGGGGAAATATACTATTGTCTATGTCTACCCTTCTTAATGATACTAAATTGGGAACTCCAGCCACCCAGGTGCATTTCTTGCTTATGGAACTTTTTTGGACATTTCCTTTTAAAAAATATATAAATCATTTGGATGACACAGACATAAACACTATTTAATAAGACATGGCACTTAGTTTATACTGAAATGAAAATGGAGAGTCACTTAAATGATAGGTAAAGACTGAGAGGTCAGAACTCTATTTGTTTTATCAGTAAGCTCATTGAGCCATACTTTCTCGGTAAAAACATGTTGCTTCTGCCTGCATACATAGGGTTGATTTTTGTGGGATTATTTTGCTTTCTTCTAGAAGCTTTACTAACTTTAAAAGTTGTACTTTCGTAGCATAGTGGCTAAGGCACTTAACTGCTAACCAGAAGACTGGCGGTTCAAACCCACCAGCCACTCCTCGGAAAGAAGATGGGGCAATCTACTTCTGTAGTGATACTGCCTCGGAAACCCAAGGAAGGGTCACTATGAGTCGGGTCCAACTCGATGGCACACAACAACAACAACAAGAAGCATAGCAAGATGGGCTGAGCCAAGTGGGAGAACAGAAGGAATGATTAGCCCCATCTTTTGGCTTCATGTGTGCATTTCAGTATTCTTGAGTTCTTCTGTCACCCTTCTTTCCAATAAAACTTTCTCTAAACACATGAGCTTCATTGTTTTTCAAGAGGTGAGTCTAAGTGTCTCTTCTAATACCTACTTGTACTAGATCTGATCTCTCTGCTATGTCTGATGGAAGATTAAATCTGGAGCTATGACACAATATTTTAAGATACTAAATAGAGCAGGTTATGTGAGTGGAGCTAGGAAAGGGACAGAAAGATGAATCTTGGTATTTCCTCCCTGAAGGATGTATACTGGAAATTTTGATTTTGTTTGTTCTTTCTTACAGTTTCTCCTGAGTTTCGAAATATGCCTCAGCTCCTGAGAAGTGTCCTCTGTGTGATTGAGATGTTCTACAAATATGCCAGGGAAGACGGTGACAGGATGATGTTGACTGGCAGAGAGCTGAAACGGCTCTTCCAGGATGAGTTTGGGGACATCCTTCAGGTAAGGTGCCCATGGAGCTGTGCAAATCCTCCCCTACTTGCCTTTTCTCCATAGTTCAAGTAAGATGAGCATAAGTGAGCTCTGTCCATTTTATACTTAGCACTCACTGACTTTTGAACAACTGTTTTCAGTCTCAGTTTATTACTCTGGACAACTGTTTAGTCAATCTCATAGAGAAAATGAGGTTTTCCTCAGTGGCACTCCAGCAAAGTAGGCCTTAGAGGAGCCATGAGCCATTATGCCTCTAAATGCAATTTATAAGTGGTATAAATGCTCTTTTGTAGCCAAAGCTCGCGCTCTATATTAATTTCTTAGGACTACTGTAACAAATTACAACTGGATGGCTTCTATATATATCTCACAGTTCTAGAGACTAGAAGTCTGAAATTAAGGTATCAGCACGGCAATGCTTCCTTTAAAAGCTTTAGGGAAGAATCCTTCTTTGCCTCTTCCTAACTTCTGGCAGTTGATGATAATCCTTGACATTCCTTTGCTTGTACCTGCATCGCTCCAATTTCTGTTTCTGTCTTCACATGATCATCTTGCCTCTGTATGTGTCTGTGTGTTTCAAAGCCTTTTTATAACAACATCAGTCAGTAGATTTAGAACCCATCTAAATCTAGTTTGATTTCAACTTAAATAATTACGTCTGCAAGGACCCCATTCCCAAATAAAATAATATTCTGAGGTTCCAGGTGGACATGAAAGTGTGGGAGGAAAATATTCAATTGAATACACCATCTGATGAAAATTAGCATTCAGAACCAATAAACTCTTAACATTGGCAGTTCAAACCCAACAGCCACTCCTTGGAAGCAAGACTGGGCAATCTACTTTTGTAGTGATACCACTTCAAGAACCCATGGAGGGATCTCTGTGAGTTGGGTCAGACTCAATGGCACATAACAACAACAACAATATTATAGGAAATTTCAACAGCTGCTGAGGAATAAGGTCAAGAAAAGGATTCTTAGGAGAGATTCTTTACTTTACCACATATGAATAATCTGATTTCTCAATGTGTTTTCATGCAGCCACACATCATTCAAGCTGTGGAGAAAAACGTGAACCTTCTGGATATCAGCAGTGATGATGCCATCAGTTTTGATGATTTTGTGCTTGCAATCTGCAACTTGATGAACTACTGTTATCTTGACATACAATCATCATTAAATTCAGAACCAAGACAGGTATCTAAATCAGAGAAGGAAAAGGCAGATGATGTGGATCCTCAGGCAAGCAGTAGACATGGTCAATGGACAGAGGAAACTCCACCTACACAAGACAAAGTGGTGCTTCCTTCAGGAATGGCACCATCATCTCAACTCAACCCTGAAGAAAGGGAACCAGTTGAACACAATAGGATGGATCCACAGGAAGTCTCCAAGACTCATAACCTGCCAGGAGAAGAATTTGAGCACAATGACTCAAAGAACCAACACCTGGAAGAAGATGAACAGATCCAAGAAGTAGCCCAGGATATACAAACAGCAGGAGATAATGGGGTCCAACATGAGACAAACAAGGCAATAAGAACATCAGAACAGATCAGCAGTCCCACAAAGAGGAAGGGACAGGATAAGGAAATTCCCAGGGAGGGAGATAAACTAGCCTGGGAGGAAAGTGGCACCAAAGCGAGAAGCCAGTTGGGAGAACAAGAGCAGAACATGGGAACCCAGAGTTCTCCAGCAGAAGAAACAGCAGAGAGACCATCTGAAGATAATAAATTTGCAACAGAAAAGAATGTTAAGGAAAATTCTAAAACACAAAAACCATCCCCACAAGCAGAAAATGAGTCCAGTTCAGATCATGCTGACCTGCCAGAGGACGCTGCCGAGGGTAAACCATCTCAGACACAGAAATCAACTGATCCTGAGGATGATGGTAGAACATCTGAGACTCGAGAACTTGGAAAAGATATTGACAGGAAACGATATGAGTCAGAGAAATCAACTGAGTCTACAATTGATGATAGAGAATCTGAGATCCAAGAAGTAGGAAAATGTGGTGCTGATAGGACACTATCAGAGACAAGGAATTCAGCTGAGCCCAATGATGATGGTAGAACACCTGAGACTCAAGAACCACAAGCACAAGAAAAAGAACAAGAACAAAAAGCCCAAGGTGATAGCAGAAATATTTCAGAAACACATGATGTTATAACTGAAAGGAAACTGGGGAGAAGCTCTGAGACCCATGAACCAGCAGAGCAGAAAGAAAATGAGAGAAAAACTCAGACATCAGCCCTGGAAGTCCAGACACAGAACAGGAAATATCACGAACTCCAGGAACCATCAAAAGAAAGGGATGCTGCAAAAGAGTCTGAGACACAAGATCTAAGCTCAGAAGGAACAGATCAGAG